TCCACCAGGAGAAAACCATTAGCCAAATTTATATGTGAATGACTTTGTAATTTGTGGAATAATAGCCTATGTTGAAGTAAATTTGCAACAGGAAATGAGTCGGAGGCTCTGTCTGAATATCAAATGGATCTCCAGGGAGAGGCAATCGCTGACGTCTACAGGCATGTACAGCTTCATGCATGTACAATTTAATTTCAGAGAGCAACCACAGTGCCCACTGTCTTGTGACACTTCTGTATGAACATGTCGCACAGGGTAACTGGACCCACAAACCATGTGTACAGTCTTCAAAGAAATAATAGTGAAAAGGTTGACATGTCATCAAAGAATTCTCTTAGTCTGAGTAACTGATGCCGCTCTGCTGGCTGTTCCCTCTGCTGCCCTCATTCAAACAGTTCTGAAACTGATAAGGTGGATGGCCGAAAGCTTTGGATCCTTTAAATAATGAGATCCTGCATGTGACAGTCCCCATCCTCACTCAAAAGCCATTTAATCCCCATTTCTGTTCATTGATCTACTCTGTTTGGATCCACTCTCTCTCTCTCTAAGTTGAGTTGCTTTTCTGTTAACAACGGCTCTGTTTGCCATTTGTGTTCTAAGTCCTAACCATGTGCCAGGCATTGGGCAAGTCTGGGGGTGCTGTTTCTACCCTGTACCTCAGCTCAGTGTGGGAGGAAGAGAAGCAAACAGGAAATAATGGAGACTGGAGAAAGTCCTGGGACCAAATCCCAGCAGGACACGGGAGAAAAGGAGTTCACGCCAAGGGGTGGGGATAGAAACAGAGCACCCCGAGGCCAAATAGAACAGCACAGGTAGTTTCAATGGAATTCATCTCACTCAAACTATATAAATTACTAAATTACATAATGGTTAGTGTAGGGAGGGAAACTTCACATTGATCAGAAAAATCAATTTTGTCATTTGTGTTTTGGTTCAATATTCAAATCTTTTCAGAAATGCAAGAAATTTTATAAGGACTTTACCTCATTGTAAGGTTTTAGTGAGAATTCTAAATGATTGTTTTTAGCCATATATACTCAAAGACTTTGAAATCGGAAAATACAAGGTCCAGTGGAAAGAGCAGAGCTCCGCTTGTCCCCACACAAAGAATGTGCGTGCTGCCTGAGGTCCCCACTCCAAGCCATGCATGCTAAGCTGCTAAAGGGGCATGGCCAGAAACAGATCCCTTGGCTCTGTACACTCAACATGTTCAGGACTGAACCCGCAGCCTCCTGTCCCATCCCAGGTGGCCTTTCGGCTCCCTACCCCCAGTGGTCATTGTCATCATCTGCTGTTGTGTTGGGCTCCTCCTGAGTGTGACATCCTGGACACTGTGGTTCCGGCCTGGTCCTCTGCACACTCACCCCAAGCTCCTCACTAGCCTTCCCGTTTCCTGTTTGCTTCCTTCCCTTCAAAGTCTTTTCTGAGTACTATCAGTGTTCCAGAGCTACTGTCAGCTCAGGCCACTGTCATATGTCCTGGCTTCTGTTTGTAGGGTTAAGTCAGTGACAGTTGGCAGCCTGTAGGAGACACCTCCAGCCTCCCTATCCTAGCAGCAGCTCCTGGCCCCCCAACGCTGAACAGGAGTTCTGTGGCCCTCCACATTCCCTAAGCCCAGGATCCTCCCAGCCTGCTGTCCCTGTACTTCTATGCCTTTCCGTGGGTGACCAGCCCCAGCTGGAATGCCCACATTCTCCTCCCTTTACCTAGTTCTTCACTGCAATTGGTTCTGTTCCATCAGCTTTCCCATCCTCCTGGGTACCTCCTGACCTAGCTGTGGGGTTGGAAGCATTTCCCAGACCACAGTCAGAGGTCTGGGTGTATCTTACACAGCTGTGGCCACTCTGAGTCTGTCCTCCCCAGATGGGAAGCCCTTGCAATGTCTTATCTGAAATGTACAGTCCAATAAATACTGGCTAAATGAGGGAAAAATTTAGGTATCACTAGGAACACCGACTGGGAACAGCAACATTAGCTCTGGGCACAATCAAAATGCATTTCATTGTTTGGTATCGGGAGGAAGAGATTGCCTTGTTAGGGCGGCTAATCTAAGAAGCAGAGGAATGCGCTCATGAAATTATGCATTTACCCTCACTTCCGTTTGCTTACAGAGAGGCCATCTAATGGGATTTTCTCTTCGGGGAAAACTACGAGATTGTTGCTGTCATATTTCCAGCATGGTCGTTGTCCACCTGCTCCTCTTCATTTTCCCCAGGGGCCTTTGACAGCCAGCCCCTTTTAAAGTAGATCTTAAAGTGCCGCTATCTAGCGCCCGCTTGGTTTCATCAAGAGCTCTGGACAGGGAGGTGGGATACGAGTCACCCAGGGGGTGGGAGAGTCCTAGGCAGGAAAGGACAGAGCTGCTCCCCACAGATCCTCCTGCGTTTGTCCATTTACTCAGCCCTAGTTCCACTCAGCACACATTTACCCAGTACGTAACACACCACCTGCAGCATGTGCTGGACAAGTAACACTTGACCGGCCTGGAAGGTCTGGTGGTTCAAGAAGACAGTTAAGAGCAATGGTTAAGAACTCTTACTGCTATTGTGGAGGAACTGAGTTTGGTTCCCAGCACCCACATGGTGGCTAACAACCACCCATAACTCCAGTTTCAGTGGATAAGATGCCCTCTTCTGGCCTCTGTGGGTATTGCATGGCACAGGTTACACTTACAGACATGCAGGCAAAGCATTCATATCCATAAAATTAAAGGAACACAAGCTATACATGAAACCACTGGGACACCGCACAAAGGGTGAGACTTCAGGCAGGTCACTTGGCCTCCCTGTATCTAAGGTTTCTTCCTTTAAACTGGGATTATGATTAGTGTCTAGAGCAAGGCACAGAGGCATATGCCTGTAATCTCAGTATAAGAGAGGCTAAATGGGGTTCTGGAACTCAAGGCCTGGCTGGGCTTGTCGCAAGAGGCAGAAAACAAACTAATGACCAAAATACTAAAGTATTTAGCCCATACAGCTAGGTACTAGGTGTGGTTAGGCCATCGCTGACTTAGCAAATGCCTGGTTCAGAGGAAGTGCTCGGCAAACCTTAACTAGCTTGGGAAGAAGGTCATGCAAGGTGTGATCATCCTGGTGCTGGAGCCGAGTGAAACGCTTGTCAATTGGGCTTACCTTTCTGAAACACTCACGGTTAAGTGCATCAAAGATTGGACCCACTGTAGTGGCCGGGGGGGGGGGGGGTTTTTCGAAGGTATCAAAAGCTACATATCTAGCAGGGAGATTCGCCTCCATTCTGAACTTGGCTGGAAGGGCTAAGGTTGACCTTGTGCAGCGATGATCCCAGTGTTCCCACCCCCCTTGCTTGAGGGTCTTACGAAGATGCTGGCCGCAAACACGGCTGGAACCAGATCAAACCCAGAGGGGCTTATTGAAGAGGAGAGGTGCTATGCATCAGGGCACTTGGGCCATCCTTCCCTTCCCGGTCACTGCGGGATGACAGGTTGTCTAACCTTCAGCATCCTCCCCAGGCAGGGCAGGCTGGAGGCAGCTCTTCAGTCATTGCCTGGGCCTTGAAAGCAAGAGGAAAAGTCTCTTTCTCAGAAGTCCCAGCTCAAGACACCCCGGCTGGGAGATCTGTGATTGGCTCGGCCTGGGTCACATGTTCGTCTCTGGCCCCTGGATCTGGAGTGGAGTGGCTCCCTGGAGAACCAGTGATACCGAGGGGGCATCACCGTTGCTGTGCCTCCAGCAGCTCAGAATTTGACACAACCTGGGACTCTACTGCCAGACAGATGAAATTAGGTTCTGTTCAGGCCCTTTCCTGTCCTGTACAACCTGACTTCCAGATTCCAGACCCTTTAGGTGGCCTGTTACAGCTGTCCTCTGCCTAGAAGTCCCTTCTCCTCCACCCGCTGTGGTGCACTGCAGTCTCTTCCTCCCTCTCTTAGGGCCCTGTGGTGGCCAGCCCCCTCTGCAGTGCCCTCCCAGACTCTCTACCTACTGCATATGTTTAACCTGGTCTAGTATGAGCTCACCCCTCCCCTCATTATGTTTCCTCTATGTCTAACTATCTTTGCATCCCAGCAACTAGCACCAGCACATAGTAGGTGCACAGAAAATCACTCCTGTGTTTTGCTGAACAGGATTAAACTGTTTATCATTTAAGAAGCTGTGAAATGATTTAAAACCTACTTAACCTATGCTCTGAGTTCAATGATGATCTGGTAAAAAACTCAGGTTTTAGTTAGGACACACAGGGGTTTTCCCTCATTCAGTTTATCTCTGGAATTCAGTATTTTGGTATGTCTAAAGTCACTTTTTTCTTTATGCCTACCTCCACTGATTTTAACAATTCATTATTGTTCTAATTTCTTCTATGGCATTTCAATATTGATAGCTGGTTCTCGCTTTGTGGGGCAACAGTAGGGACGGGACTACCAATCCAAAATTCTCTCTATCACAGGTGGCTTAGCCATTGAAATCTGTCTATACAGTTTGTAGAAGAATGTGAGGGTGTGTGTGTGTGTTTCTATCACAGGTGGCTTAGCCATTGATTCTAGTCTGTAGAGCACATCCGGGTATGGTTTTCCCAACTTTGAAATCTGTCTATACAGTTTGTAGAAGAATGTGAGGGTGTGTGTGTGTGTCTGTCTGTCTGTCTGTCTGTCTGTCTGTGTCTGTGCATATCTGTGCGTGTGTCTGTATGCATGTGTGTCTGTGTGTGTGCGTGTGTGCATGCCCAGGCATATGGTATGTGCTCAGATGTGTCCATGGGAGGAAAGAGATGTGAGAAGTGGGAGTTGGTGTCACCACAGATACCATGTGGCCATCTCTTCAAAACATGTGTTGCAAACTTTCTGCTGCTTGGGTCTCCCCCAGATTCTGTCTGGACACCCTGAACAGGTGAGATGCTTTGGGAACCTCATTGGGTTGTCTGTAAATGAAGAGACAGTTGGAGCCTAGCTCCCATCACCAGGATGCTAATGGTAGCATAGCCACTCAAGGCCATCCTCGTCACATTCTGTCTTTCTGTTTCCACAGGGGTCTCATCGCCAGCGGCTTCACAGAGACCCATTATCTCCAAGATGGTACTGATGTCTCCATCACTCGAAATCACACGGTAATCCCTGCATGCTCACATCAGCAGAGTGCTGTGCTGCGAAATCTGGGCTTATACTTTGTAACTGCTTTGTTCTGAGTAAATCATATCCCCAGATTCTCACTGTAGAGCCCAAGACACCCTGGGGCAGCCAGGTGTGGTGACTCATGCCTGGAATTCCAGCTCCCAGAGGTTGAGGCAAGAGACTCATTGAGGTTAGAGGCCAGCTTGGGCTACACGGCAAATTGTAGGACAACCTGGGCTATAGAGTGGAACCCTTTCTTGAAACAAACAAATAAAAAAGCCTTTCTATGAAGATTTTTAGCTGAGCATGGTGGCACACACCTTTAATCTTAGCACTTTGAGAAGCAAAGGCAAGTAGATTTCTGTGAGTTTGAAGCCAACCTGGTCCACATAGTGAGTTCCAGGCCAACCAAGGGTACGTAGTGAGACTCTGTCTCAAAAAAAAAAAAACAGCAACAAAAAATACCCAAAGTCAGAGATGACTTGGAAAGCGGTCCTGCTGGGACTGAAGGGAAATAGATTCTGGTGAGCCTGCTTTAAACATGAGCACAGTGCCAGCCTGATTCCTTATCAAAAGTCTTACAACAAAATGACACTTGTCACTTCCTAGTCAGCTTTTCTGATATTTGGACTTTTTAAAATATTTATTTTTTTTTATTTACTTGAGGGGGGGTATGAATGATGCCAGGTCTAGAGACAAGGACTAGAGAACTGGGTGCCTACAGCTGGAATCTCATGAAAATTGACTCCTCAGCAAAGGTGTTTCCTGTGCAGAAGAGAACAAATCTCTCTAAGCCCCCAGTGGGGTGAGGAGAATTGTCTTCCGGGTATACCAAATTGAAAAAAGAGTTCACAGAAAACTTGGAACCCCATCCCACCTCCCGTGTGTATCGGGAATGGCCTGGCTCACGCCCAGGTTCTGAATACCATCATAAGACGGGAATTCCCAGCCAAGAGATTGACCTCAATCTAGTCCCCAATCATGGAAGCCTGCGTGGGCTCGGACTTCAGCTAAATTGTTCCATAGGGAGGTTTTTACAGCCTAGGGGTATGAGATGCCCATTCAAAGAAGAAAAGAAAATAATAAAAACATTAATGAGTCCGAAGTCAAAATCACAAGTCCAAACAGCGAACAACGCCACTGTAGCAAAGAAAGAGAAAATCAGTCCAAGAACAGAGATAATAGAAAAGCCAGAAGGGAGAAAATTAAGAACAGAGTCAGTATAATGGGAATTCCACAACGAAAATACATTTCAAAATGTAGGAAAGGGGCAAAAACCTGATGTGGTAATAATGCCCCGGGTTGAAGAAAGACATGAGCCCGTGAGAAAGCCCTCCAAGTCCCCAGAGGAAGAGCAGAGGTGCTCCACGGTGGTTTCCAGAGAAACTGCAATATCAAAGGGGAAATCTTAAAAGCACTAGAGACCAAAGAGATTAGTAACAGATGATGACAGCTGAACCAGCACGGAGTTCTCAGGAGCAGTGTTGGAGTTTGAGCTGCAGGGAGCTGCAGGGAAATAACTGTCAGTCTCAACTGTACACTGAAAACACTTTTCAGAAATAACAGTGGAACAGACATGGTCATGGGACTATGAAAGAACTTACTCCTCTCAGATCCTACCTAAGAGCATCTGCTGATGAGCGTCTAGCAAAGGCTGGGGGGGAGACCGAACTCAAGGGAGCGGGGGAGGAGCAAGACCAAGTAGTCGCACTCAGCAAATCTCTTCAGAATAACAGAACAAGAATGACTCTGTTTGGATGTTTTAAGATAAGACAGAGAAATAGACTTAAAACAGTTTGAGAATTTGTATTGTACTAAAAATAATGGGTATGCTGATTAACTTTGATAGGTTTAATACGCAGTCTTGCCATTTAGCATCTAAAGCCATTTAAATGCTTTAGTATAAGCATTTAAAGAACAGAAAAACAGAATGGATAATTCCAAATAATAGAATATGGGTAGAAATTGTGTTTCAGCCCAAGACAGGGTAGGAAAAAAGAAAAGGATTTAAACCAGAAACAGTAAATATATAACATAAAACAATAAGATAAAAATAAGACAGCATGCAAATCTCATTGTCTGTAAATAGGTCAAATAGGTTGTTAAGAGTCATACCTCCATATGTAAAATGAAAAGAATAAAATCAAAACAAAAATAGATAAAACTTAATTCCTCCCAAAACATCTGCTGTGGTCCTATTAACCAACTTCACACAAGTCAGTGACACCGAAAGGAAAGAGGGAGGGAGGGAGGGAGGGAGGGAGGGAGGGA